AGGATCACCATGAGTTGGAACCCAGACTGGGTTACAGAGTGAGTTCAAGGACAGCCTGAACTACATAGTGAGACCCTGTCTCAAAAAACAAAATGAATTTAGTTTCATATTCTTTTGGTTTAAATTGTTTCAATCTGTCCCATTTTGAACCAAATCTCTCAGCCTTTCTTTGAGACCCCACAATTCCTGCCAAGCTTAGTTTAGATACTAGTTGTCAACAGAGCCTCACAGTAAACCAGGCCCACCCCAGTTTGTATAGCAAGTTTCTGTGAACAAAGCAGTAACCCTTCAAACGCAGCGGGGCAGGGTTTGACAGCTCCTGGGAAGTGTTAAGCAATTGCAAAAATGGTGCATTATGAACATTTGTTCTGAGATTTTCACTTGATGCCATAGGTTGATTACATATTTTCTTTATCTTCTTGTTTTCTTCTCAAATCATGTACCTACAATGGGCATGGAATTTTCTGGCTTAATCATCAATCGTTGTTGCTCTGAATACCTTCATTTTCTGGTGAACACCCTTGAAAAGAATTTAAAACCCCTTGATGCAAGTAAAATTTTTTATCCCTGAAACTAGTTTTTCAATACGTAATATCATAATATATTCAAATACTTTCAAAGTCCTATGGCTTATTTTCAAAGTTTTTCTAGACAACTGGTCCGTTAAATGTGGAGTCCAAGCTCCAAAGGCTATTTTAACATCTTAAACTAGTTATTTAAACCCATATTTTTTAGCTTGAGAACACATTCTACTTAAAAGCTCCCTTTAGTATCATAAACAGAATACTAAATACTCACCTGGAATCTCTCAAGAGCCCCATTTTGTCTCCTGGCTAGTATCTGGGAGGCAAGGTGCCTGCAATATTCTCGTAAATTTTCATTCTTTGTCATTTTAAACAAAGAAGTAAAGAAGTAAAGCAGCAAAGAAGTACCTAAGTCTGAAAGGTTTAAGCAGAATTTGTCTCAGACTCCCATTTACATTTCTCACGAAGGTAAAAACGTATACATGAATATTTTTAGAGACTTGATGGAAAACACTATCTTCAAGACATCAGATTAAGGATGGGAATCATGGCTGGGCGTGGTGGTGCATGCCTGTAATCCCGGCACTCGAGAGGCTGAGGCAGGAATATCACTGTGAGTTGGAGACCAGCCTGGGATACATAGTGAGTTCCAGGTCAGTCTCAACTACATAGTGAGACCCTGTAAAAAAAAAAAAAAAAAAAAAAAAAAAAAAGAATCATGCCTAATCTATCTTGCTCTGTTCCTGCCTTCCACCTTTGCAGGAGTCTAGGCCAGGAATACTTGAGCATGTTCTTGGCTTTACCATTAAGCATCACTTAAGAAGCAAATGCCACCACCTGCTTTGCAAGTGCAAGGTCCCGAGTTCAATCCCCCCAGCACAAAAAAAAAAGAAAAGAAGAA